TTCAAACTACTCGAACTGTCCGATTACAAAATAAAATCTGATTACACAATAATTTAATTAAATAATATAATATTTTTTTGTAATATTTAAAATTTTTTTCTTATTTTATAAGATGATAACTTCATGATGGAAATCAAGATGACCCCACATATACCGCGTCAAGAGATCCTTTATACATTTCAGGAGGTCTAGTCACGAGAGCTAGAGTTAGGAAGATGCGAAAAACTTTAAATGGCCTTATTAAGCAAATCTGGGTTTATAACAATATGCAATAAGTAAATCGAAACTTGGATGATTACCAAGGTATGGTAAACATCATTCAAATTCAAGAGAAGTTTAATTGAGGTCATTTATGCTAAATTACACAGTTTGCATCAAAATCCTGCAATTATGTTGTAATTTGTAACAAACTAATATTTCATGTTACTTTAGATTACTTTCAGTGATTTTCACGTTTTTTGTATTATTTTGAACTGAACATTCATTTATTTGAGACCCAATTCATGGTTATTAGGATTATGGTTTAGGGTGTTAGTTTTTTATTCTGATTAGAATTACTTTTCTCTATTTAAAGGGTTTGTATCTCTAATTGGGGGAGCTATTGAATTTGAGTTTTTGAGAGACTTTTCTTTTTGGTTCGTTTTAGAACTTTACAGAACTTATTAAAATTATTTTTATGGCGTTCTAATATAACTTATCATTCTCGTTTTTAATCGTTCGAGGGTGTGACGTCAACTAACTTTATACCGCTGGTTCTTGTTACGTCATAAACAACGAGTCAATGTTTTTACTTTTGGTTCTTGTTGCAACATAAACAACTAGTCAAGGTTTTATTATAAATCTGATTTGGCTTTCTTAGAGTTTAGAAATTCCTTGTAATGTTGTGGGTCTCATTGATCTCTTTGGGGTTTTTATCATTATGTTTCTAGTAATTTAGATGTTAATGTATTTTATAGCTATATTTTTTATTTAATATTAAAATTTTTTATATTATCTCATATATTTAATAATATTAAAAATCAATCAATTAAATTAAATCACATCGATCCGATTTAAATTAGATTAATTTTAATTATTATATAATAATAAATTAAATTAATTTAAAAATTTTATTAATTAATTAAATTAAATTAATTTAAAAAATATTAAAATTCAATCAAACTATACCGCACCACAGACACCTCTACTTATAACGGCCTAAAACGGCCTAAAACTGCTAATGGGGAAATTAATTTGAGTGTTAAAAGGGCAGAACTGAAGTTGACATCACATCACATCACACTTTATAAATGGAATATATTCATGAAAAAATCATTTCAAAATTTTCCAAATGGGATCCCGTGGGAATTTCGTGGGGATAACGGGGGTTTGAAATTCAAGGCTGGAAAATAAGATATAGGTTAAATGTCAATTTAGGTCCCTTAACTTTAAGATTCTATATAATTTTTATCTTTTAATTTATTTATATATTTTTTTGATTTCTTAACTATCAAAAATATTTTTTTTAGTTATTTTATCGATTAATCCATTAAATATATTTAAATTTACATATTTTTCATTTCTCAACTTAAGTTGAAGAATTAAAAATATACATATATCAAAATTTAAGAGATTAAAAATATATAAATTTAATAAAATAATTGATAATAAAATTAAAAAAATATATCTTTTATAATTAAAAAATATATTAAAAATTAAAAAATAAAAATTATATAAAATCTTAAAATTAAGAGATGAAAATTAGTATTTAATCTAAAAAATATATAGCCACCTTGAAAGCTAAACTTTTTTTTTTTTTGGGGTAAAATCGTCATGTGCATAGTGCATGTCCCATCACTTTATGCAGAAACTTTCCTTCTTTTACTTTTCCTGTCCTCCCAAAAAAACAAAAGCTGGAAAAAAATGCAAAATCAAAATTTTCCTCGACCCCTCAAAAGCACAAAGCCCCAGACCAAAATCATCATAACCACTAATCTTTTAAATAAAAAAACCAAAAAAGGGCGGAATTAAGTTACGTCATTGTTATTTCATGCAAAGGGATAATGAAATTAATTCAGTAAAGAGAACAGAGGATTTGATTATGTAGACCGAATTTGTCTGCCTCTGATGCGGCATCTACCTGTTCTGAGTTTGAAATTTTGTGGTAAAGTTGCTTTGTTTAATTCAATGGTTGTTCAATAAAGTTTTTAGAGGGAAAAAGAAAGCCACTCAAACTAACACGTCCACTATAATTGACTAATTTAATAAAAGAATATTGTAACGCAGTTTGTTTTGTGTAGATTATAATATTTTTAATTTTTATTTATTTATTTATTTTTAATAAATATAATTTTTAATAAAATAAAAATATAATAATTTATTAATAAAAATTTTATTTATTTATAATCAAATATTATTTAAATAAAATTTTTATTTATTATTTATTTATGAGAAAAGTACATAACTATCAAAATAAATTAAAGTTTTAATTTTAAATTAAATAGATTAATTTAATTAAAATTTAATTTAAAGTTTAAAAATCTATCCTATTAAATATTTATATTTAGATTTAGATATTGAATATATTAAGATATATAATTAATTTTTAAATTTAAATTTAGATATTAATATTTAATAAAGTGAATTTTTAAAATTTTAAATCAAGATTTTAGTTTTTAAATATAGACTAAACTAGTTTAAAAAAATAGAGACGTATATGCAATAATCTCTTATTATTATTATTTTTTAGAATAAAATAAAATAAATATATTTAATAAAATAAAAGTAAATAATTAAATTTAAATTACTTAAATAAAAGAATTAACTAAAAAGAGAGAAATGAATTCGACCTGGTAAAGAGGCGGCTCCCTCCATCCATTATTAAGTGCATTAAATAAAATACATTTTGATCAAGAATATGTTACTTTAAATAAAAAAAATTTGGTTTTTTTTAAACAAAATCAAAATTTTTGAATGAAAGAAAAGTATTGGAAGAGCTTACTTCTTATAAAATTAGATGTAATTATATTTTAAATTAATTAAAATTTAATGTGATTATCAGATATTAAGAGGTATCAGATATTAAGAGGTTTTAATTATTGATATCATTTTTTTTATTTTAATTAATTATTATATATTTTAATTTATTAAAAAATTAAAAATATAAAATTTTTAAAAATATATAATGTAAAATTACAATAAATAATTACATTAAAAAAATATAACATTAATTATTTAAAATGTTGCAATTACCCCCACCCTACTTTTCTTAATCTAATAACCTTTGGTCCCTATTCAATTTTATTTTATTCTCTTAACGCGGCCAAAACCAAAACCAAAACGTGTTGCTGAAGCCGAATTACGGAGCCAGAGGAACCTTAAGTACCCAACTAGAAATGACGATAACATTCATCGTCTTCTCCCCTCAATCCCCAAATATATAAAAAAAAAAAAAATCCCATTTCATCAAAATCGGCGCCTCACAGACTCCAGTCCAATTGCTCCGCTTTTGACCCGCTCGACTTGCCGGCGAGTGGCCGTCTCCCCCTCGAATCTATACTCCCTTGTTATCGTCCCCTTCACGCTTCTTCCAAATCCCCCTAAAAAAAACAATGGAATAAGCATACAAAAAGTCACCCAAAAATCATCCTCCTCTGAAATTAGATTAGGTTTTTTCTTCTCTTTGTAACCCATGAAGATTCTGGGTTATCTATTCGTTCTTTTGTGCATAGCTCTTGTGCTTTTGTTTCTGCTCCGGGTGGTTTTATTCAAGACCGGTTTGATTTATGTTGTCAAGAAATGGTGGAGATTCATTGAGGATTGCTTCCATGTGTACCAGTTCTTCAAGGTGCCGGAATTCAACGATGGGATGCAGGAGAATCAGCTTTACCGGAAGGTCTGTGTTTATCTCAATTCTCTTGCTTCAATTGAGGATTCAGATTTCACCAACCTCTTCACCGGCAGGAAACAGAGTGAAATCGTCCTCCGTCTCGATCCCAATCAAGTGGTTGAAGACAACTTCCTTGGGGCGAGGATTAGTTGGATAAACGAAGAGGCAAGTAAGAACAGAACGTTTGTGTTGAAGATTAGGAAAGCGGATAAGCGAAGGATTCTCCGGCCGTATCTGCAACACATACACACGGTGGCCGACGAACTTGACCAGATGAAGAAAGATTTGAAGCTTTATATGAATGTCGGTCGTGATCAGAATGGCAGCAACGCCCGGTGGAGATCCGTCGCCTTCACGCATCCTTCCACTTTTGAGACAATTGCCATGGAATCCGACCTCAAAAACAAGGTGAAATATGATCTGGAGTCATTTCTCAAAGCCAAACAGTACTATCACCGGCTCGGCAGAGTATGGAAGCGGAGTTATCTCCTGTTTGGCCCATCCGGTACCGGAAAATCCAGCTTCGTTGCGGCAATGGCTAATTTTCTCAGCTACGATGTCTACGACCTGGATCTGTCAAAAGTCTCGGATGATTCGGATCTCAAATTTCTACTGTTGCAAACCTCGAGCAAATCAGTGATCGTCATCGAGGACCTTGACCGGTTTTTGATCGAGAAATCAACCGCGGCGAGCTTATCCGGTATATTAAACTTCATGGACGGAATCTTAAGCTCTTGCTGCGCTGAAGAAAGAGTGATGGTCTTCACAATGAACGGCAAAGATCAAGTTGATCCGGCGATACTCCGGCCGGGACGAATCGACGTCCACATCCATTTTCCGTTATGCGATTTCACGGCGTTTAAAACCCTAGCCAACAGCTGCCTAGGGCTGAAGGACCACAAGCTGTTCCCTCAGGTAGAGGAAATTTTCCAAAGCGGCGCCAGTTTAAGCCCAGCCGAGATCAGCGAGCTGATGATAGCGAACCGGAATTCGCCGAGCCGAGCTTTGAAATCGGTAATCAGTGCGTTGCAAACGGACGGCGATGGGAGGGGCGCTGCGAGTGTCGGAAGGCGGTTGTGCCACGACGGCCCGAGGAAAACGGTCGAGGAAATTGGTGAACCGAGCGGGGTGTTCTGTAGGGAAGATGCGTATCCCGTGAAGGAATTCAAAAAGTTGTACGGTTTGTTGCGGATAAAAAGTAACAGAAAAACTCCGTCGTTTGATCTAGCAGCTGTAGAGAAGGACGGCTGATGATCAACTTTGGTGTCTACGTGTTAAATCCCAATTGGTTGGAGGGCACCAATAATCCCCCAAAAAAAAAAAAGTGATTAACATGAAAATATAACGGTCCTGGGTTCGGTTCTAAGTGTATTCTATTTGGAAGGAGGTGGTGGTTTTTGTAGTTTAGACGGATGAAGGAGGGTTCTTTTATTTAATGGATGGTATGTTATCGTTCTGACTGTAAAATATCATACTCTTATATTTATACATTTTTGTTCATCTCATAGATTGCTTTGGAATGCAATTAGTGTTTAAGTAGGATGATGGGATATGTAGTTATGTACATAAGAGCATTAGATTTTGTGATTTGTACTTAATTTAGCATAATAAGGATCAAATTTCGGTTCTTTGTGGATATGTATTTCTTGGGTTCTTTTTTTTTTTTTTTT